ATTGTTTAGGGGATGGCTCCTCATACACTACCTCTCAGGTCTCAAAATTTTTTCTAAGAGCCGTAAACATTAGAGGAGAGCGCTGTGGTCCCTCTCGGCCGGGGCTTCCGGTGGCCGGCTGTTCGTGATGTTCTTTTTCCTATGTTTTTCTGTAGCTATGCTTGCATTTTGGTCTGTGACCGAAAATAAATTTATTATTATTATTATTAATAGAACTATTTGATTATCCTCTTTCAAATAATATTGGGTAACATAATCTTAATACCTATGTCTATCATTTGCATGTCCTCAAAATTGCTCAAATGAACAATTTCTCTCCTATTCAAATAGCAGCTGTTCATTAATGCAGTTCAGGATTGAAGTGAGAGCAAAAGAGCAACCAACTCTTATATACAGTATAACTGTTCCAAGTCCTGCAAATCCTAAAGTAAATAATTAAAAGAGTTAAATGTATACTAAAACAAAATTATTCAGTTATGGCCCTTAGGCAGATTTCTAACACAGATCAGGGAAATTTTGTAGAAAAGGCTGATGTCACCTCTTGACTGCTAGGAATATTCAGCATGCCATTGAAATTTAAAATGAAAAAAAATATATTTACATTTTAAGCCCAGGTTTTATAGTAATGGCATATAATTCTTACAGACATGCCACAATTTTAATAAAATCACATTTTTCTACATACTACTGCAAAAGAACCGAAATATCATCTAAAATGACAACTAAGCTAAAAATATCTAGCACGGTATTATTCAGAGCATTGTTTATTGCAAAAGAAAAGCAATCATGTAAGATTGTTACAGGGCAGAATTTTTACATGGTCTATAATTGTTTCTATGGTCTACATATAGAGCCCATCCAGACCTTTGCAGCAGAAATAAGATACAGTAGTCATACCCTCACCCTACTATACTTTTCAATCATCTCAGAATATTGCCTCCATAGCTAACAGTGGGGCATTAAAGGATGCACAGAATTGCACCTCTTAGTTATTATGCAAAACAGACATTCAAAATTGTATGTTCTGGCATTCACTATACAGTATGTATACGTGCAAAGTTGCAGGGATTCATTTGCAGATATTTCACTACCTCCCTTGAAAACACTGTCAGTGCTATAAACTTGAAGAACCAAGGTTTACTGATTAATTGTGGATTGGAATACATATAGTGCCTTCCTACTAGCCCTGTATGTAATTGGGCAGGTTGTGGTGTTGTGTGTTATGTAATATATAATTCCCATGTCATTATCTGGTTATGCTGATCCAATACTATTTTATCTAGATGTTGGTTACCAGGTATGCGATATAGAGCAGGGATCCCAGGGAAACCAGGCTGCACAAGCGGCAGGCGAGCGCACATCTGCAGCTGCACCTGAGCAAGCGGCTGGCAAGCGCACATGCATGCAAAGCTCCATTTCTGTGAGTGGCATGTGTGTGCACCTGCCACTTGCGCAAAACCATCCCCTCTCCACCCTTGCCATTGCCACCAGTCTGCAAAGCCAGAATGGTTGGGACCACTCAAGCCGCCTTGAGTCTTCGGAGAAAGGCGGCATACAAGTTGAACAAATAAATAGAGGGAATGTTGTTGTGATCAGTACTGTTTTCCTCTTTATTATACAACTATTAACCAAAAGTCAGATAAATGAAATAAGGCATTATATCTGTATAATGGAAGCCAAGTAACAACATCTTAATCTGAAATATTAAGATATTAAGAAAATATCAATATCCAATACTATAGGCCACCTAACCACATACTGGGTAGGCGATATTCCATAATTTATCAACTGACTTACTTCTCCATGAACAACTCAAAACTCCAATCCTGAATGACATACATTCTCCACCATAGCAGCACTTATATGTTGCAACTAACTTTACATTTATAGAGAAAAACTCCCTACAGTCTTTTAGAGTAGCCCCCTATATTTTAAAATATATAGACTTACACAATATACATACTTAAATTTGGTTCGCCAATCAAATAATATTCTTTTCAGTCAAGGCTACTCTGTTTTATTTTTACTCCTACTCATTTTTATATCCAGGCTAGTCTTTTTTCAACACCAGTGTTCTTTCATTAAAACATATATTAAGTCCATTCAATCATTAATTATAACAGTGCTATGGGGTTGGATTGGCTCATATCAATCACTCATATATTTTTTTAAAAAAAGAAGACAGAGATAATGGCATATTTTGCGATGATTACTTTTATTTTATAATTATTCTACAATTCATATTTCATTATAACTTAATATATTCTAATTAAATTACTTCTAGATATTGATTGAAGCAATTATTTGTACAAACCTGCTACTATTTTAACTAGGAGATGGGAATTATGCTATAACCACTACTTTAAAATACAATAGCTTTAAAGGAAAAAAGTTCTCAAATGGGAAAGTAGGTAAAGAGTCTTGACTTCTGAAAACACCTAGGAAAACCTTTAAAAATACTGATAAGGAACTTTGAAGAGAATCTGTTTCCTTTTTATTGTTTCCAACCCAATGAAATATCAAAAGAAAAAAGATAAGGCGATTCAAGATTTTGCCTGTCTGTCTGTCAATTAGCTGAATAAGTCTCCAAAACCTGAACAGAATGAGACCAAATTTTATATGGTGGGGGGAAAAAATGAAAAACAGAGTTTAGATCTAAAAATGAGGTGGATCCAATTTGAGTCTGCAGAGTTTAAAATTTTCCCACTGCATCCTTATGAGAAAGGCAGATCGGCACTGAATCAGTGTCCCTTAATCTAAGCCCACCCCAGTCATGAGAGCTTAAGTAAATCTATTTTTAAGAGGTTGTAAAAAGTTCTAGAAATCTTGCTAAGTATGCTTTCCTCTTCCTTTTGTTTTAAGTATCCTAGAAAGCTTCTGCATCAGGTGTTCCAGTTCTCAGAAATTGCACATCATTAAGACCACTTTCTCCAGAAATAGAGCAAAACAAAAAATATGCTAATGGAGATGTCAGTGAGTTGCTCAAGCTCAAAGATAAATGATTCATTATGGATCTCCAGGTTTTTTGAAGATCATTTTAAAGAAGCCACCAAATAACTCTTACCTCCCTCACAATTTCACTTCTACAAAGCAAAACAGGAAAAGTTCTAGATGATTTATTATTGCTACATAAATTTGCATTATTTCCAGCAACAATTCCTGAATTGCAGTGTAAACCTGAAGAGCCAAAATCATGCAGCGAGCATGAATACACATACATAGAGTGGAGATATGGTATAATTTAGCAAAAGGTTTGCTTATCAAAAGTCACTGTTAGCCAAACTAAAGGCAGCTGGCTTTTGATAAACTATATAGAAGCTACAACACAAATCAGTTTAAATTTTATGCCACCAAGTCTTACTGAGCAACGTCTGTGGAATATCTATAAGAATATTACAGGTACAGTCTTTTAAGGACAACAGCCTAAAGCCATAATGTAAAGTGCTCCATTAAATGGTTCAGCGGTGTTTTCGCTAGCAAGGTTTTTTGAAAAATGGCATCCTTGCACATCACAAATTGCTAACCAGTTCTCTACAGACATTACACAAATGTTTCAGAATTTCAGAAATTGTTGTCATGCAGAGTAAGATAGTTATGCTGTGAACAATAAATAAACAAACAAACCAAGTTGTACATTGCTATTCCACAGGCTTTTTGGATTGCACCCTAAATCTCCAAAGCAATATATTTTGTTTTTCACTTCGTTGTATGCTACCTAGAGTCAGTTGATTGTAAGATGGGCAGCTGTATAAATGTGATGAATAAATAAATATGTTTAGAAAGTACATGCTTCTAAATTTATAAAATTTATTACAGTGTTAATATTTTTACAGCAGTAACCAAAAACGTGATCCTACATTCACTACTTTGCTACAGTCAAATGGTAAAAACAAACATAACCATCTCATCAGCTTACTTTAATATTGTCATTTCTCCTCTAACCTTTTTACCAAAAAAATATTGAAATTCTGAATAGTAATACATACATACATAACATGATACATTCCCTTTCAGGATAAGCAATGTTATGCAGAGTGCAGAAAGGGAGGAAAGCTGATATAGGAAAGGAAAAGGAAATATATCTAAATCTACTTTATAGCAACACCAATTACCATACCTCTTGATACCTCACAGGATTGATACTGTGATGGAGAGAATATGATACAGTATATGTTCATTTGATCTTCTGTAGGAGAAGGTGGGATACAGATAACAAGTAAATGCTATAAACTATTCTGAAAAAAAAAACTTTGAAGGCCATTTCACTTGTTTATGACACATACAAAGAAATAAATAATTTGACCAACACGATACAGACAACCCTGCAATTTAGATCAGTAAAGGCTTTTGATAAATTTGATACTTCATATATCTTTAGAACCCCAGGCAGACAGCAGAAAATAAGGATTATGAAATCCCTGATGGCTGATCAGTAGAGTTTTTATATCTTACAAGTTATATACGCCCAATGCAGAAGACTGTTCAGAATACAAGTGGTTCTTGCTTAATAATGCTGATTCAATGACTGTTCAAATTTACAATGGTACTCAACATGTTGTACTTATGACTACTCCTTGTACTTAACAGTCACAGTATTCCACATAGTCATGTGATTATGATCTGGGCACACTTGCCTTCCTTCTTTGCTAGCTGTTTGCAGAGAAAGTCAATGGGGAAGCCAGAAGGAAGTAGCACATGGCAGCCAGAAGTGCAAGAATTTCCATCACTAAGCAGTGTGGTCATGTGATATTGCACTTTACAATTGTGTTGTTTAACAATGGAAATTCTATTCCCAATTATCATAATTAAGAAGGACTACCTATATATATTAACTCTCTCCATCTCTATAAATAATGGGAGAAATTTTTTAAATAAAAATATCATACTATAAAAACATATCATTGTGTTTCTTATGCTGCCTAAAGAATTATTTTAAATTCTGTGGCATTAAGAAAGTAGAAGGGAAGAAAATGTCAAGCAGTTTAGCTATCAGAGCTCACCTTAGGCACCCAGTGGCATTGCGCAGCACCTGTGATGAATGAAGTTGAATTTTGTGGTCATCCTGAAGGGGGGAATTTTCCCATCCAGAATGAGGAATGATCACTGCATTGGTCAACACTGCTAGAGCATCCTGGATAATTGGCATTTTCAGTGCATCACAAGAAGATAAATTCCAGAGAACTCCTAAAAGGAAAGAAGCAAAGAATTGACGTTTATTCTAAAATCAGAATGAAGTGATATTGCACAAAACCAACACTACCTGAACATTCATATTTGAGTCTTCAAATGTTCACTGTTTTCTACAGAAACTAGGGCATCACATAATGGTATGTAAATATATACATATCGCAGTCATCATCAAGATTCAGTTATTTAACTCATTCCATTATTTCATTTAATGTAATCATATCCTGTATTCCCATCTGATCTCCTAACTAGGCTGGATCAGACTGAGACTTCACAAGGTCTTGTAGGTCTCCACAAGAATGTTACAACATGTCCTCAAACTTCACTCTGGGATCATTGCTCAATGCAAGTGTCACAACTGTCTGAGGTGGTATAACTTTCTGGCTTCCCAATCTCAGATGACAAAACTGAGGAGGCATAATGGTTCACAGTCTTCTTGAGTTTTCTAGATCTCGTCTTGTTCATAACACTACAGAAACGTATTTACAACAGTAGACTCTTAGAATAGTGCCACTTGGCTACATTGAGATCAATTTTGAAAAACCTGCTAACTCTGCATTTGGCATCCTCATTTGTAGCAAAAACTATGATTTTTATTTTAACGTATTTGTTGTAGTCTATAAGCTCGATGACTATGAGAGATGGCTTACAATTTTAAAAAATTACAATTTCTCATCATACATGAAAAACAGAATTGGTAAAAAGAAAAATTATATTGTATACTGCCCAGAGTCCCTCTGAGGGAGATGGGTGGTTTAGAAATATGAAATATAAATAAATAAAGGCAAATTAATTAAGCAAATATTTAATGAATATATACCATTCTTAAAACATGAATACATAAATCAGGAAAGAATTTAATGTACATCCTTTAAATAAAACTATTTATCTTCTAATTTAAATAAAACTGTTTAGCTGTTACTGTTGGGAAATATTACAGATTCACGTTTCATTTCAATAAGAATATGCAATGCATTGATTGAGACGATTAGTATATATAACTTTGCACTGTGGACAGGGGCTAGAAATGACTAGCCATTGTTTCAGTAGGAGAACTCTCCCAGTGGAATGTCAGAGACTGAATTTGAAACCTTGCCAAAGAATTGCTTTTTCATACCTTGTAATGATATGTATAAAATATGTTATTTTGGGATCAACAGGGCATCTTCTATATTAGGACCTTCATTTTTACACCTTGTATACCAATAGGTAGATTTAGTCAATCCCCTATGTTATTTTTGAATATATCTCAATATTGTTCCTGAACTAGTTAAATGATTTCCACGTCTATAGTAAAAAACAATTTTTCTTATGTTTGGATTGATGGACTGGATGGGGTAAAAATCCTCACCCATCACTTTTCTTTTGTTGTATTGGCTCCAAACAATGGAAATCTGACACAAAATTACCTAATCATGTTGATGTTTGTATGTAATATTATATGGATAATTAATACCAAACACTCATATGAGCTCATTTGCTGGAATGAATACATCTCACAAAGATGAGATGGAACTTGTGGTCCTCTGGATCTTGTTGAGGGAAAAAAAGTCCAGCACACTTGGACAGCATAAGAGAGAGGAATTTCCCATCCCATTCACACTTACAAAAAAGTATTTTCAGTCTGTGTCTAGGCACTTATGCTACATGAATAACTGATATAAAATGCTATAATAAATATTGCAATAAAAATTACATATCCATGACTACACACTTCAATAACTGAAGCTAATGTCAAGAATACTTTTGCAGAAATTTAGTACATTGATTAAACATATATGAGACATATTCTACCCATTCACAATTTTTCAAGCAAGCCTGAATACTATCTTATTCTACATGTCAAAATACTTTACACAAAACTACTTAGTAAAAGGAATTGATGAAAGTATTACATTATCTTTATACAAATTTCCTCTGAAAATGTCATACTTTCTATATTTATTTTCTCTTGTGAACATTCTGGCATCCAGAAGTCTCAACTGTACAGTTTCCTAAGAAAAGGCATACCTTTTCAAGCATTTGTAGATGAAATGGGAGAAAAACCAGCAGGGAAGAACTAACTGCCTGGCTGGCGCTAGGATTTATTTTCTAGCCAGCCCTTTCTGCCAATTTTTCCACACTGTCTGAACAAATTGCTTGGAGAAAATTGGCCAGGGGATTGGTTCAGGGTTGGAAGTGAGAGAAACACTGCAGATCACTGGTTAAGTACAAATAATGCTCTCATCAGTTTTAATCAGTCAAGAACCTACCACTCATTTTGGACCGTAATTCACATCACTGCCAGTCTGTATGAGACAATGAAAAGGAACTATTCTTGAACATATTCACAGATGCCTATTTACTAGCAGGTTGTGAATTAATCTGATAAAGAAGGTAATATTTTCTTAGGAATGGATAGAAAATTGGCCAAGATGAAGGAGAACTAGTTTCATATCCCATCCCCCCCCAAGTTGTCTTTTACAGCCGAGAATGTTTCACTGAGAAAATGCTGAAAAATAATGCTGTGCCGATATGTTTATTTATAGTAAAGAGAAGAGGCTCCTTCCTCATCTCTCTCTTACGTGCACACGCAGGTGGCATTAACTGCCATGTTCTCTCTTTAATTCATTAATAAATCATAGATAAAAGGCATACTGAGAAGCAGAATTCCCCTTTGTTATTTATGTTCCTTAGTGTCTACTTCTCCCTTGCAGCAAAGTAGTGCGACTGAATGCTTTCTGTAACATTAAAATTCCATATCTATAGAATTGAGAGAGAGAGAGAGAGAGAGAGAGAGAGAGAGAGAGAGAGAGAGAGAGAAAGTTTGCATTGAATGTTAAAGAGTAGTGGAGAATTTTCTTGAGTTGCTGCTTTCATTGTCTTCCCTTGGCTTGGCGGGCATGGCAGGGGACGGATACTGTAAAATCTCCATTCCCTCCCCAATCCAGGGGAATGTTACTGCAAAATCCCCATTTTCTCCTGATCAGCTGGGATGTGGGAGGCAGAGAATAGATGGGGGTGGGGCCAGTGAGAATTTTTACTACAGGTTCTCCGAACTACTCAAAATTTCCGCTACCAGTTCTCCAGAACTGATAGAACCTGCTGAAACCCACCTCTGCCTAAGGTACTGGAAGTGGTGCTTCCCCTGTTATCCTGCCTGAAAGCACTGTATGCAGCCAATATATGGTACATTTATGTACACTAAAATGATTTATACAGTCTGAAATGATATGCTCCATGCAGACCATCTTGTGCCTCCAACTGGTCCTTTTTGTGGGATCCCCTTTCTGTTGGATTTCTTATCTCTTGGCCAATTGCTCAGCCCACTTGTGGCTACAAGAAAATAGAAACTCCAGTTTTTCTGCAATCACATTTTTTCTCTTTTTAAAATAAGTTGGTCAACTATAACAAGCCTTGAAACTAACCAATCAATGGCTTACTTAAAATAATTGCAAGAATTTAACTCTTGTAATTGGTAACTTGCCTATCAGGGAATTCCCTTCATAGATAGACAGGGAAAAGGTAGATCCTCACCTTCTGTTTTCATAGGATAGCTTATTGCCTCCGCCTCTCCTCCCTTATTCCTCACAGTTGAACCTCTTTCTTAATCTCCTACACTTACATCCAAGTTATTCAGTGGTCACATCTCAGTTATGGAAATTTTGACAACTACTAGATAATAGATATAAAAAAGTTTTTGCTGCTGTTGCTGACCAAAGGTCAAACAGTCAAACAAGCCACCTATAAAATACAAAACCTTTACTAGTCCATCCCTCTTTATTTCAAACATTTGACAGTATAATTGATAGGACTTTTGTAGCATGTGTGGTTGGGAATTCCCTTCCCAATGGCTGATCCTTGCTTTCTCTCCTCACATTACATTTTTAAGCTCCCATGCAGATACTCACAGCTAAAAACATTAAATTTCAGGTCACCATCAGAATTTACTCACTGGATTGTATCTTTGCTGGCCAAATACAACAACTACTAGATAGCAGCGAAAACTTTTTTTTTTTTGGCTACCATCTAGAAGCTGATAGGGAATCCATAGTTTCCACCCATAGTTTCAGGAATAATTAGATCAATCAATTGATGGCAAAATGGGAAAGGAGAAAACAAAAAAGAATCCTGGCAGCACATGGAGCATTATGCATACCAGGTGGGTAGATCTGCACAAAACAATTTTGGTAAGGCTGGAATTTCCACTGAAGAAACCATCAGTCATGGCCCTTAAATGCTCTGTGCAATGCAATACAGCCATTTCCGAGTGTGTAAGGGCACACCCTGTGGGGTAGTAAGAATTAGGATCACAGGTGGTATTCAGCCAATTCGTACCGGTTCAGGTGAGCCGATAACGGAGATTACGGGTGGGCCTGCCCACCCACCCACCCACTCACTCAGGCTCTATGGTGTCCTATTTAGGTATGATTTTGAGGCTGGGCGCATGCACGGAAGGCACATGCATGAGCAAAGTGCATGTGCGGAAGGCTGGACGCATGCACATATAGTGCGCATGAAGCAAGTGTGTGGCGAACCAGCAGCAACAAAATGTGAAACTCACCGCTGATTAGGATGGCATGATTAACTACCAGCTCTGGGCAAAGATATGGGCCCGACAAAGCAGTTGTGTGGATGTGACTTTTCTCTGAGCTTTTGAACAGGGAGAATAATGTTTTCTTTGGCATGAGGAAATGTAATGTATTCTTTGGCGTGAGGAAATGTAATGTATTCTTTGGTGTGAGGACTTCAAGCAAAAAAAAATAAGCTTAATTGATTCTCTAGCACTTACATACAATTCCCTAGTTGTATATATGGAGTAAAGTATGAAGAATTAGATGAGTAATTTACTACTTAGCATGTAAGCATTTTAGTATTATATTCATAAAATAGTTCTACAATCTCATTAATAAAATTTATTAATGAGATTGTAGAACTATTTTATGAATATAATACTACATTCATAAGTATAAGTATATACATATTTAGCATTGCACTATTTATTTTTATAGTGTTTAGTAGTCTAAAACATTTTATTTACTTTTATTGAACTTTTACAAAATGTTTATATATTTTGTCTGAGCACTGTAGCTTCTTACAAAATTTGCATAAAACACTAGTCAATGACCATAATAAAGATGCTACTACTAAATACCACTGAGGCACAGAGACAAGTACTTTATTTTTAATTATATTAACAACCAATAGCTAATTAATTTGTTTAGTACACTATTTTTAATTCTCGGGAAAATGGACAATTAAATTAGAGTAGAATTAATTACTAAAATTTATAGTGTAAATATTTGAAAAAGTCTCAACTTAAATAATAAATGAAGTTTGAACAGCAGAGTTGGTAATACATATATATTTCTTTATAATTAGCATAATCTGGAGAAATATTTATTAGCAAATGTGATTTTAAGATTTGTAGAGTTTCTTTACTAAATTCTCAACCATGTACTGAAACAGATTTAAAGGCAATCTTATACCAAAAACAATTGCAGAGGACTAATTAAAATCCTCAATCTTCTTCCAGTACATTTTTAGATCACTTTCAAGGGACCTATTGATTCTGAACCAATATTTTGATAATATTGAAGAGGTTCCTTTGATTTTAAATGCATATACATCATTCTTTAAATATTGTTAATATTGTTGACTGATAAGATTTAAAAATACAATAAATGATTTTAGTTTTCTAATTTGTATCTAACTGTGGCCATTTTTGTCTGATTTACAACAAATAATACCTCAAACTCATACCATAGAAGATGGCATAATGGAATTATTTCACATTTATTGTTCTTGCTTTTCTGGGATTTGCCAGTACAGACTTTGGGATTTATATGCCAACATTAAGAGGGAATGTATCTGTGAAGCAGATAGGTGCTAGTATAGTAAGTATGGCAAACTATTGTGCCAAGACAGGAAGGTAACCCAGGATGTATAAAATCAAGGTAATTTTTGTGAAAGATTATCTCACTGTTTTATTTCTTTGGTGTTACCAAACTCACAGAGGATGTGGGCTAGAGGAGCTGGTAACTGGCAAACTGGATTGTAACTTGATTTCTATAATCTTGTAATCAAGATGAGTGACAAATTTAGGACTTTCATTTCTGTTTCTACCCTTTTATCCTGTGGTACTGGGATTATTCAAACTTTAATTACTTTCTCCAAGCAGAAGAAAAAGAAGGCAGAAACCAGCTGGCTACAAGTTGGTCAAAAAGTTTTAATTCCAAAGTCTCAGGTGTGCATTCAGTCAGTTCTAATTATTTTACACTTAATAGTCTTCATGCCCATTTATGTTAACTTGAAGAAATTATGATGACATAATTGCTGAAAGGCACTTAGATTGACAAAAAGAGAGAACTTTAGAATTTGGCCAAGAAATTGATCATTTGAAATCTAAATTTTATATTTTGTGTGACATGCATAAAATAGGAAATATGTTGTAGTAAACTATAATAACAATAGCAGTCATCACTCCCAACCTCTAACCCCTAATAGGGAAAATTATATTATAATTGGGGCTCTTGGAGGTTGACATCCAAATCTCTGAATTAAAAGATTCAGATGTTTTCTAAATCTGTTTTTCAGACTAAATGGTTTATTTTGAATATAATGCTTCTGGGGAAAGGAGTGGTCTGAATTAATGTAAATTATTATGCAAAATATAATTTTACAATGGAAAAGAAAATAAATATCTAAAATGGAAGAAATGTGGAATAAGGACATTTATATTGAATTTTACTAAAACCAATAGGAAATCTTGTTTTTCAACATTTTAAACAATTATGCAACACACAGAAAAAATATGTAAATCTTTATTGCATCATTTCTGTAAACTTCTTTTCCATTCTTCTTTAATCTGAATACTGAAATCACAAGAAAAGCACTTTTCTCCATCTAAACCTCTATTCGGATATTTTAATCACTTACCACATTTTTGCTTTATGATGAATGTCATTCCACTGCCTCAAGTTCATTATCAGAGATCCCATATGTCAGCTTCCCTATACTTCCTCCAGTCATAAACTTTCAATCAAAGTAACTTTAAAAGTTCTCCCTTGACCCTTACTAATGTTTTACTAGTGCTATTTATGAAATAATACTTGCATAACCAGGCATTCTGTCAGGAAAATGTACATGTGCATAAAATTTAGTGTTCCCAATTTGAAAAAGTTGAGTAAGAGACAGTTTTAAGTGTGAATCAGGTTCTTCACATCCAGAACAGCTTCTTTTACTTCAAACTTAAAACCCAGTGATTATAATTCAGTGATCCTCACATTTGGAAATATTTGCACATATTTATTTATTCATTAATTTATATTAAGTGTAGCATGAAGAGCAGGGTTATTCTGCTGGTAGAGGACCTGAGATTGAGGAAGACATACCATTCATAGGAGCGAGAAGAGATTTTTATAGCTTGTATTTGGTTTCAAGGACAAGCTATAATTACTTATGCCCCTGCATTCTGCACTAATTGTAGCTTCCAGATTGTCTTTAAGGGTAGTAGCCCCATGTAGAGCCATGTAACAGTCCAATCAAGAGATGGTTACAGCTTGAGTGATAACAAGCAATCTCCTCCCAATCTAGGAACAGATACAATTGGTACAAAAGATGAACTTCCGCAAAAGCCCCCTCGCCCGCCTGCCTGCCTATCTATCTAGTCATTCATCTCAGTGGGAAACAATCATAAACTCCATTAAAACCAAATGCAGCTATAAAAATCTCTTCTCATCCTTATGGGTGGTATGTGTCTTCCTTAATCTCCCAAACCTGGGAGTTTAAGGGTTCTGCATAGTATTTTAGCACTGCACTTTTCTGGACAGAGAGCTCTTATATTGTTCGTAGGAACTATTGGAGCCATTCTCCCAGTTTAGGAGTCACAGCCCTAAGTGCTCCTATCACCCTGGGACGACTTTGGCTTTTACTTTCTATATCCTCTCTAGTTCCTCCTTCAGGTCTTGGTACTTTTGTAGCATCTCATGCTCCTTCTTCCTCGGGGTCTATGATGACTCAATGCCACTAGCTCGACATGGCCAGCAGGAGGCACCCTTCTCACCACTGCAGAGTCCTCACTGCCAACTTGCAGCTGCCATCTCTTTGCAGGACTTCTCAACACCATAAATTTGCAGGTGAGCAAGCGGGCTGTCAGAGGGAGGTGGCGATGGGCGGAGCTGCCCAGATGGAAAGCGAGTGGAGGTGGGGTGTCAAAACGGAAGCCCCTGCTGCCCTCCAAGGTTTTTTTTTAAAGCTACGTTGCTTAATGTGTGAGGATGTCTTGCTCTGAAAATAAGGGCAGTTTTGGGAAGCAATGGGGTGGGATGTCAGCTTTTTTAAAAACTAAAAGGGCTTGTTTCAAGTTGCATTCAAATCCTTGCTGATCAAGCAGATTGCAAAGTTTGCAGTCGCATTTAGCTGTAGGTCTGATGAACTATGGAAACGGGGCTGCATGGACAAGAAAGTTTGAAGTCCAAACTGAAAAAAAACCCTCTTCTCTTTTCACAACATTGGTGTCGGCTTTGGAGGGAACATTGCTGTGATTCTCCATTCAAATGCACTCTGCCCATGACGCAAAACACCATGAAATCATCCACCCAGCTTTGGGGAAAAGCACTCTGCATATGACCAGAAACACCATAAAGTCATCCACCTGGCTTTGGGCGGAAAGCATATGACCAGAAATACTATGCTTTCATGGTGTTTCTGGTCACATGCAGAGTGCTTTTTCCCAAAGCCAGGTCCTGCCAGCTCAAATGTCGCCCAAATGAACAAGCTCTGTGTCAGATGTTTGGGATCCAGGACAATCTGATGGTTAAGTGAGCTAAGTGAGCATTAAATAGATGGACTATAATTAAGATGATTAACAGTTTGTGCTTTGTTTCAAGTCAGGTTGTAAACTACTTCAGGGAGACCAAGGACAGGTAGTAGAACCAAGGACTGAAGCAGAAGGTTGAAACAAAGCTAACATTTTTTGTTTTATTATTATCTGCCAGTAATTCTGTCACTCGGACATGATGCATCATATCATCATCACAACAAGGAGTATCTAATGAATTCTGCCTTTGACAGGTTAAGAGTTGAAAGATGAAACGATTAAAATATTTGGAATCTGTAATCAGAGCTGAATCATACACCCTGCAGTCAGGATAATATATGCTAACTTATTTTTTTTCCAAGAGAAGGCAGAAGAAGATCTTAAAAGGGGATGGTCCAAATAATAGTCAGGATTTACAGAATATCAGAATACCATTAATAGTATTTTAAAGAATCATCAACCACATTATACACTGTAGGAAATGTCATTCTTCTTCCCTTAATCAAAGAATTTGTAGCAGCATCACCAGAGCTTAACCACAGTAGCAATCACAATTGTTATGAAAACTGCTGTCTGCACACTACTCAAGATGGAATATGGATATGCATGTGTCTTGCTGAATGTGCATATTCTACATGTTGGCAAAACCAAGATTTGTTTTAATATGTTCAAATATACAAGTACAATATTGAACCCGTGTTTTGTTTTCCTCAAGCAATGTATTAAAGTGTCTCAGGTACTGAGTTAATTCTCAAAAAAACATGCAATAAAGGAAAGATATTCAAACCTGTGACCAGTTCTCTGATTTCCAAATCTGTAGTCTTTCGGAGTAATCGTACTAGTGCTGGAATACCCCCACAGTTTTTCAAAGCAATTTTGTTGTCATCATTAGCTTTCCCATATACCAAGTTCCTCAGAGCCCCACAGGCACTACGGTGGACTTCTGTCATTCGATGGTCCAATAGATCCACCAGTAATTGTATCCCTCCTTGTCTTCTTATCTGCATCAGCAAGATAAAACCAAAGAAATCAGAAACTAATCCTCAGTGTGGTTATTCCTCAGTTTTTAGACAGCAATTAGAAGAGAAAATGCAGCAGCCAGCAAGGAAAGATGCTGGACTGATTTTCTATAATACCTTTGAAAGCAAAATCTTTTCCAAAAACTCAAGCACTGATCAAGCACTGATCAAAACAGCTGGACAGATTATGAAAAAAATATTTGGAAAGTACCCGTCCCCCATGCCATAGATAAAATACTAATGGTTGAAGATATTATTGTCAGTGTGTGGAGAAATCTGTCAATCAGAATTTTTTTTATCAAGGATGACTGAATGGCATTCCAGTTTCTAACTGCTTACAGTAGTTATATACCAATAAATTAGCATCTGCAAGGCAATTACTTGCTATGAAAAAGTAAAAAGTCTGTAACATTTGCTTTACAAAAAAAGACTGGTATATCTTGGACACAACATTAAATTATATTGTATTCTTTGTTTTGTTTTTGGCTTAGGATTTTTGCAAACCTAAATTATTCAACAAAACATTCCTAAAATATTGTGACTTAACATTAATATAAATGCACCCAATATAAACATTAAAATGTTTTTTAAAGCAAGCTACAGTGCATATTCAGGATGTGTAGAAATTACTGGGAGAACTGTAACAGTAAATGAGATATTAGTTAAAACCAGAATTAATTATACTGAACTCCTACATTTATTTATTTGTTTGTATCAGGGGTGGGTTCTAATTTTTTTTACTACCAGTTCTGTGGGTGTGGCTTATTTTGTGGGTGTGGCTTGATGGTCATGCGACAGTGGGCATGGCTTGATGGTCATGTGACAGTGGGTGTGGCTTGATGGTCATGTGACTGGATAGGCATGGCCAACTCAATGTAACTCACGTCAAAGGGTGCCTCGCCTGGCCCCTCCCCTCCCAGTCATTCCTTGTCACACTCAGCCTCAATGTATCTATAGTTCTGTAAAAATGTTGTTCACCTTTTTTCAACTTTATTATCTACATACTATAGATGCACTTTCATGGACCACTGAAAGGAGGAAATGGCTCACATGCTTTGCCCAAGAGTGTGATAGGCAACAGGCTTTTAAGGGGCTGCCAGAAAGAAGCGGGGGGGGGCAATGTATTTTCCAAAGCACCAGAAGGCAAAACAAGAAGCAATGGATAGAAACTGAACAAAGAGAAAAGCAACCTAAAACTAAGGAGAAACTTCCTGACAGTGTGAACCAATATAGGTGCAAAATATTTTAGTCATAATTTCACATATAAAATAGCCATTTGTGTAATACAACCTGCTTATTGTTCAAAACAGTCATTAGTATTATGGCTGATGTTTGACAGCAAGCCTAAAAGTCAAAGATTACAAGAATGCTCCTTTCTCTCTATGTATACAAAACATCACATACCAGGAATAGCATATTAAGATGGACTTAATCCAGTGGTAGGTTTCAAATTTTGTTACTACCGGTGGCTTGGTGGGCATGGCATGGCGGGCGTGACAGGGGAAGGATACTGCAAAATCTCCATTCCCTCCTCACTCCAGGGGAAGGATACTGCAAAATCCCTATTCCCTCCCCACTCCACGGGAAGGTTACTTCAAAATCCCCATTCCCTCCCAACCCCACTAACCTGCTCTGGGAAGGAATCAAACTCCCCCCTCTTCATTTCCCCAAATAAAATATTACTCATAAGAAAAGGCTCCCAGAAAAGCAAGGAAAAATCAAGCTGCTAACAAGGAACCTGCCTGATACTCATTCCACATTCCTGCCAGCTGCATAAAGGAAACTTTGTAAGAAGAAAACAGCTACCGGTGCTTAGAGATAACAGAAAGTGGAAGCCGGAAGTTTGGCTCCATTTTCAAGCAGGCAGAAAACTCATTCAAGACAGGATATTTCACAATGGAAATCGCCCCCTATTAACCCCCTATGTTCCTCTCATTGCAGGACACGATCATCGGTTGAGGGGGGCAGCCTGCCAGCCCTGGAGGCCATATTTTTCTTGGGATCTTCAGGGCTGCCACACTTAGTGCTGTGGGAAATTGGGAGGGGGGATTGCATGGAGTTGCAGAGATATCTAGCCATAATAACATTCTTTTCTTTGAGAGTCAAGGACATCCAGCCTGGAGTGGCGTGACTGGGAGGCATCTCCAGTTGGGATGGTGCATTGATTGGGCCACGTGATGGACATGTGGGTGCAGGGGGAAGGGACTTGGACTTTCTTTTGGGTGGGGAAAACCTGGAAGCTTTCAGATTCGGGTTTTCCCGGATGTGCCAATATGACATCTCTACTAAAATGGAACTTTGAGGAACTTCTAGCCTCGAAGTCTTCTTTCGTTGGGGGTGTTACTTGGAACCCTGACAGATCTATTGGGTCATCCTTTTAGAGATATTTCCTTACTCAAATGGATAAACAGAATCACCATAGGCAAGCAAAAATGCATTGGGAGCAAGAGTAACTTACTACTTCCTGCCAGCTTCTTGTGGGAAGCTGGAAGGGAATGTTGGAAATCACCATATGACTGTGGCTGACTGTGACACTGCAGCAACCAAAACTTTGAGAATAAAGTTGTTGTGAAAACCCTTGGAATTTCAATTAAACAGGAGTAATAGGTCCCATAATTTGTATGCATTTTTTAAGTTAGTGGAGAGTAGTAAATGAGAGAAATTTGTTTCTTATAATATTTATAATATTAGGGAAGGAGAGGAAGAGAGGGAGAGCTTTTAAGGGTAAGAAGGAATTTATGGTATTCAGAAAACAAATATCCCACTGTTTTTCAAGAATCTTTCTCCAAGTATCAGAAACTGGTGGTGGAATAATTTTACATTGCCAAGAAGTAAACAAATTACATTCACCTTCTTCTGTCTCCCAACTTCCACCTTTTATTGCTTGTGATAAGTACCAGCCAGGTACTTAACTCATCTTAACTGCCTCAGAATGAATTATAGCTGGATATGTAAGTGGCTGAGCATACTACAACCTATTGCTTCCATTAATGTTCTCTAACTTGCCTTTGAGTGAGCATCAAGGTCACTCATTCCAATTTAAAAAGGGAAATGGATCCTTTTTAATCTTTATATTTAAGAAGGAAAAGGGGTTGAAAATCATAATATATCTATTGTATACTAAGATAGTCACAACTGGGCTGGGTACCACTAGATGGCAACAAAGAGACAAAGAAAATGTTAAAAGCTTCTATCATCTACTGAGGGTCCAGATGTGTGCAATCCAAATATGTTGAATTGAGTGACATATGGATTTCTGTAAATAAAATCAAACAAGCAAATGTGGCAATCTACTGCAAGGAGGAGAGAACATATATCATGTTCTTCATAGGATACAATATTTCAGTCGCGTTCTATGGATGAAATTATGAAAAAATGAAGAAACAAAAGGAACTTTCAAGTAAAGAACTAATTCCACTGTTTCTTAAATTTCTAAGCACCAATAGAATAAAGTTTCTGAAAGTACAACTATGTTAGTTGCAGTTACTGAATCAACAGAGTTGAATAGATTTCTCATGATTCACTCTTTCATTTGATTATGTGCCATCAAGCTGTTTTCACTTCTAGCAACCACATAGATCAGGGTGGTCAAACTCGTGGCCCGCGGGCTGGATGTCATGATACATCATGTGACGCTGCCGTGACAACACGAGTTTGCCACCCCTGACATAAAATAGATTTTTTTCAAAACAATCTATCCCTAATCTGTTCTTTCACAAGGATTCTAATTTCCCAAGGATTCACAAAGGTGCACTCACTGTAATTGAATGCATCCAATTTACTGTTTCCTCCCTCCCTCCCTCTTCTCCACCCTGCAATATTATTAACAAAATTTTTAACAGTGAATTGTTCATAGAAAATAACTGTATTTGAAGCCAAGATTCCAATGACACGTAACTTATTTACTCCTACTTTACTTTTTCCACTGGTATAAATACCTATACTAACAAGAAATGACAAAATGACAATGTATGATAAATTACAATCATGTCCCTTCAACTTAATGGGCATTCAGAAACCACCTTTTTCATCAAGAGTTGTGTCCAGAGCTTCTTAAGTTTTTTTTTACCACTTCCTCTTATCTCAAAGATAATAAAATCTTCCTTAGAGTGAGATACAAAGTGGTTTAGAAAACAGAGCTCAGACTTCTAATGTCTTTAGCATTATATAACATATAACATTTTACAGTGTTAATTTCCCCCAGAATTGTAGGAAAGTGACACCATTATGTTACATTTCAAAGAAATTGGTAGGGCTGTGCAAAGCCTGCAAACCAGATGTTTCATGGCGCACAGGAAAATGGATGAAGCATTACAAAGTATTTCTTTAGAACACATTTCTCTGTTTGGTATCACTGCAAGTTTCAAACAGCTAGGTTGAGGGCTTTATGCAAAGGGAAATGGTAATTATTCCCAAATAATTAAGCATTCTGTTTTTATTTTACAGATTTTAAATCTACTTTTAACCCAATTACATGGCCCTTGCTTAGAATGATTTAGTAGCTTTCTCCCTTGTTAGATATTTCTCTTTATTTATCTCTCTAATAGGGAAGAGAGCTTGAACAATCTCTAAGTCCCAAGAAAGCCCTGAAACATTTAGATTGATATACTACAGAGGAGTACAGAGATAACTTGGAAGAAAATATATGAAAGCCATTACAAAAGCATCAGCTGGAAAGACAGGAAGGAGTGAGATAGAAACTCAAACTTGGTCTGCCTTGTCTCTCTTGGGTATAAAAGAAAGGAAAAAGAAATGGTCACACTTTCCAGATTCTGTTATTATAGTGTGTATCTTTCTTACATTAATTTTACTGAAGATTGTAATTTTCAACAATACAAACTAAAGAAAAAAGAAAAATAGGTGTAGAAAAAATAATACAATAAAGAATAAAAGAAATAAGTGTTTTCCCCTTTACCACTATCAACAAATTTTAGTAACTTATCATTTTCTCTTAAAATACAACAAATCTCATATACCATCTC